GGAAACGCATCACAGGAAACAAGTGCCAGAGATGAATTATAGAGTTGCATATAAACTAAACATAACACTCAAAACAGGGAGGACGCTAGTTTATGTCCTCCCGTGACCCTTAGGAGAACTAAGGGGAAAAACACTTACCCCATAGTTCTCCTTTAAGGTCCACTCTTTGTCATTCCACTGTCAATTGCCTAAACCTCTAATAATCGCTGATGCTTTAGCACTTTGTCAGTTGACTGGAAAAGGGCGACCAATAAACTGTATTTCCACTTTGCAGCCGAATATTTACATGCATAGCATAACTTAACTCCAGGAGAAAAATTATTAACCCTTGCAGTGGAGCTACCCCCACACTGCAAGGGTTAACTGCTTGTTTTGTCTAGGTTAGAAAAAAAAAAAAGGTTATAGTTACCTGAGCCATGCAGCCAGCTTGTATTTAGACCAGTCCTTCAAGCCTCTCTCCCCCTCCTCTGCAGCAGTCTAAGGTCCCATAAATCATCACGTTCTGTACACAGTGTTTAGAAACGCTTAGGAACATTCCATTGCTGCAGCATAGGAGAGAGGCTGGAGGGAGTGCTGCGACAGCTGGCTAGCTTGAAGCTTTAGGCGAGTATAACTTTGTTATTTTTTTAACATAGACAAAAATGAGCAGTTAACCCTTGCAATGTGGCTACCCCCACACTGCAAAGCTTAACTGTTTGTTTTTGTCTAGGTTAAAAAGAAAACGTAAAATTTGTTATTTTTTATTATTGGGATTTATATAGCGCCGACAATTTACACAGCACTTTACACATTCACATCAGTCCCTCTCCTCAAGGAGCTTACAATCTAAGGTCCCTATCTCACATGTATCAAATGTATCTCTTTTTGCTGGTCTTTTCTGAAAACTCAGAGACTGAACCATTTTACTTTGTTCTCCCTGTTTATGAAGTGGCTGGGTAATTGTGTTTGTCATAATTAACTCTGTGCCATGAACTGTACAGCCTGGTTTTAAGAGATAGGCCGCACAGGCACAAGGGTTCCGTTTGGACTCCAACCCATGTAGTTTCACTGTAAGTACAATATGGATAAGTTTACATATAGAGAAAAAATCTCCAGCTGATTTTTTTTCTTTTGAGTAGCGTAAGGAAGGGTTAGTATCACTTTCGGGTTTCTGTTGAAAGATGTCCCCTTACTCTTACTATCCCAGTTACTATGCAGGAAGTCAAGGTAAATTGAAGAGAGATGAGCTCATCCGCCTGCTTTCACTGTCCAGTCAAAGAGGTGGGTTTGGAAAGAGACCTGCAAGTGTTAATGAACTGTAGCAGAAACAAATTATTTCTCAGGCATAAACAGCTCGAGTATACCGATGTGGACAAATTTGTTGGTACCATTACACGAAAAAAGAACCCAATTGTAGTCTGAATTAACTTGAAACCTACAAAAGTAATTTGCATTCATCATAGTTTGCTCCATAATTCATAAAAATCAGACTTGGTTTTGATTCAACAGAATATTGTCAGTAATAAACAAATATAGAAGGCAGGCACAAGAAAATATTGGACCCCTAAACTAATATTTTGTTGTGCAATCTTTAGAGGCAATTACAGCAAATAAGCGATTAATGTAGCTCTCAGTGAGACTGGTATATGTAACTCATTTGGGTACCACATGCATGAGGAAACACATGACCTTTCACCAAAAAGATCGGTGGGAACAGCACATAAATGACACCAAAAAGCCTTCACTCCTCCTCCTTGGTCCTCCCTTGCCAACTCTCCCCCTACTGCACAAGAATCTCCGTCTGCATCCATTGCAACATCTGCGGCCTCAAGCGATAAGTATAGAAGTCTGACAAGAAATTTGAGAGGTCCACCTTACGGCACACCAAGCTGAGAAGAGGGTCAGCATGGGACCATGCAGACTAGGACCAAGGCTAGGCTTGAACCTCACCATAAGTCTCCTAACTGCATTCCCACCATCTCTAGAAGCAAGTGTCTCTTCCTTAGCTGCTGGAGTGAAAGAGTGGAAAAAATATTCAAACAATCACTCCCATGTGCAGTATCTTAATGTCAGCCTAGCAAACATTGTGGATTTACAGCTGCTCCCATTCCAGTTGGTGGAGTGTGCCCCCTTCAGCGACTTTGCAGGCTGCAGGTACCTAGCCCCCCATTTTTCTACTCAGAAGGCTATCCCTGCCCTCCATAAGCACGTGGAAGCTTATGTCTCGGTGTCACTAGATCATGTGTTCAGTTAATGGATCCACATGACCATGGACATGTGGTCCCGCAAGCATGGGTAGGAAAATTGTATCTCTTATATTGCTCACTGGTTACATTTGCTGATTGATCATAAATCATAAATTACAGGTCACAGGATCAGAGTCTTAGACCATGGGATATCCTGGAAGTCCAAGTGAGATGTGGGAAAAACAGCAAACAAATCCATCTGGCAGGATGTCCCTAAAGGGAGTTAAGGGACAAGTGATTCTGATGGTCCAAAATAAGCTGTAGCTAGCCGAGAGGTATGCATTGAGACAGTGGAAAGAAATTTACCTAGAATGTTTTGGAGCAAGACACAGAGAGGGGGAAAAACAATGTCCTGGTTAAGAAGGAGTTAGGAAACCAGCTTGGGAAGAAAGGAGGCCTAAGAGGTCAAGACAATCTTATGCCGGGTTAACACAAGGAAGGGTTTTTTACAGGATGGGGCCGCTAACTCGAAGACTTACCTTATGAAGGTGATAGCAACAAGAAAGGCAACATTGTAAGTAAGGGTAGACAGGGGATCATTCCTAATGGGTTTAAAAGGTGGCTTCTGAAGGGGGTGACAAAACCAGGCTGAGATACTGCAGTGTCACTTGGGCCTTCCAGGTGTGCTGTAGACTTTGCAACAGGAACACTTCCTAGCCTTTAAGAGTATAAGGATGACAGAATCCGCTAGGGCCCTGTCTCTCAGGACCTGGGCTTCAGCAGCTAAGTTGTTACAACCAGTGCCTGAGAAGCAGGATGGTGGACTGGTTCTGGACAGAAGATCTGCAATATATGGGAGGGCCACAGAGTCTGACAGGAGTTGGAGTATGTCAGAGTAATCCGTCCTCCAGAGCCAGCCTGGTACAATTAGGATCCCCAGAATACTCTCCATCTCGAGAGCAGACAAGGAAGGAGCTTCCAAGGGGAAAAGGCATAAATCAGGTTGAACTGAGAGGCTCCACTGTGAAGGCTCAGGAATCCCTGGTTCAGGTGACAAATATGTCCAGATTGTTGTTAAACCTGGACACCAGTAGGTCCATGTCTGGAGTCCCCCATCTGCAACAGAGGGCTTAAAGCAGAGACCATTTAACAGAATCCAGATTTTGAGGGCTGAGGAAGTCAATTCTGTGCCAATTTTGCACACTGGGAAAATGCACAGTGTTCAGGGCTGGAATGTTAAGTTTCACCCAAGCCATAACCAAGTCTGCTTCTCTTTAAGCTGCCCAACTTTTGGTGCCTCCCCCAGTAGTTGTGGACCACTGCTGTGGCATTGTCCAACTTAATCCTGGCCGGGTGGCACTAAAGTCAAGAGGTTCCGTTTAGAAGGGACAACCAAATTGCCCTGAGTTCCATTATATTGATTGGAAACCAAGCTTTCTCTGACAACCAGGTCCCCTGCACCAAGAGGGTATCCAAGACTCCTCCCCAGCAGGACATCTGTCATGAGCACCTTCTAGATCATCAGGAGAAATGATTTCCCCATTCCAGCACCGGATTGAAAATCTACCATGCCACGGTAAGTCAGTTTTTTTTGTGGATAGAGTGAATGTTGAGTTGCAACAGACTGAAGTGAAACTGGACATACTGTACTGCCTTGAAGGAGGCCACCATTAGCTCCAGAACATTCATGCAAAAGCGAACGGTTGGATGGCTACTGGAACGTACGGTCTGACCATGCATGGGAGCAGAGACAGCATCTTGTCTGAGGGAAAGGAAGACACTACAAGTGATAAGTGGGAGAAAACACTGTCTGTTGGACATTGGCAGAGTCTGGATTGACTGTTCCTTTATTAGGAGATTATGCAGGTATCCAATGTCCACGACTGGGACTCCCGATTTCTTTAGGAACCACCCCTTAGCAGGGGTCAAGAAAATGTACTGCATAGATAGAAATGGCATCCTTAAGCTTGGGGTCTCCTCTAGTACTGAACTATCAGAATCGAATGATGTACTATCCTCTTCCACCTCAGGAAGCACAGAAGCAGTACAAAATTCAGGGAATGATTGTGGGAGAGAGGATGAGGGGGCTCACTTGCAGCTCCTGCGGTCTTGGGCCTCTAAATGGGCTGAAACTTTCCCTATGTCAGACATTGTGGCTGAGTACTTCTTTTTAGAGAAACAGTAGGAGGGGCTCAGAAGGAGCTAGGGAGGCCTCTTAAATACCAGCTGCTGGCTATGACAGTAGCAGCTTACACTCCATAGCTAACCATATAGGGACCAGAATATCAGCTATCTGGACTCCCAATTGGGTAGAAGCCCTGACTTACCACAGTAGCTTGCAGTTCTCTCAGTCAGCCAAAGACGGATGTTAGGGACCAAGCCCCATTCAGATCTCCGCCCTCCCAGTGGGCTCATTTGCACAGGCTGGTGGGCCATGGCTCTGGACCTGTATTGCACCCTGTGGTTTATCCAGCGAAAAACAGAAACAACCCTATAAAGCATGGTCCAATGTGCTCCAATGGAGAAAAAATAAATATATAACTTTCTGATCTCTTAAGGCGTTTGGATATACTCTGGATCAACAATCTTTTGTGTTATTAGTCATAAATGCTAATAACAATTTATATTCTGTGCATCAAGGAATGCATCCAATCCTGTTTTTAAAAATGTGCACTGATGAAAGTGGAGCACTATACACATAAAAAAACTGCAACTTTAGTCAGGAGTCACACTCTGCTCCCACATGTCAAACCCTGTTATTGGATACAGTATTTTACATTAGAAGATGGAAAAATAATTTAATCAACCAAGGCAAGAAGCAAGAAACACAAAAACTTAAATTAAAATACTTTACATATTTAATATTTTATATTATGATTATAAATCTCTTTAGTTTATGTACAAATTACAAGATATTAAAAAAGAAAAACAATGCATTGGTAAATGCTTTCAAAAACAAAATCTAGTGTTTTTAGATCCAACACCCTGAAGAAGGCCTACATTGTAATGTCAGTTTAACAGTCGTAAGTGGCTAAGTCAGTCTAATGGCACGGGTATGTGCAGTACATGATAAGCAAAACTATTAATAAAAAATAATTCTGCAATCATATTCATTGGTAAGAAAGGATAGAACATATAAATGAGATTGCAGCCAGAGGTTAGAATGACCAGCACTAACATAACCCCCATATATGCCATCTGGGTCGCAGCATTGGGAGCAGAAGTAGGACTATACTTAGGTTTTAGACTCTATAGATTGTGCATCTAGACAGCAACATGGCCAACTAGGTAAATGTTGTCATAGAGATGCCCTACAAATTCTTCACTAATATTCTGAGCAGCACGCCGCGTGTTTCTGATAAATTCTCTCTTTGACATTTTGTTCTTCACATGAGGACTGGCGAGGTCGATGGAAAGCAGAATCAAAGAATAGCACAGGACATACACTGCATCTAAACAAAACACAGAGAAAAAAAATAAACAGGCTGACATTAATACAAAATTGGCAAAAAGAAAATATAACAAAGTCATGCTTGGGAAATCTCTAACTAACAAAAACACATACTTTCCTTAAATGCAGAAATGTTATGCTGCATTCTCCCCAAATGTGGACTCACATAGCACATTTGTGTTTAAATAAAAGTATATGCTAAAGCAATTGACCTAACCTAGTTTAATTTATTGTATTGTACTTTAGTTTAATTTAGGATGACATAGAGATATTTAAAAATCCACTGCAGATTTTGAAACCATTTTTAAAAATTGGCTTCATAGCTGCTATATTTTTTAAGACGGACAACCACATTATTAGAAACCCCAGGATGACTAGTTGGCCACCTCTGCTATCAAACTCACACGTAATGAAGCCGTGAATGATTCACAGTTGCATGGTTATCTGCTTGTCCAGACAATGTTTCCTGGAATGAGGTCTTGGTTCAGTTGTTATCCAATTTATCCTTCAAGAGCAACTAGGTTTAAAGTTACCCTATTACCAGTGGGTCACTTACAAAAAGGACTAACCTTGTAAAAGAAGTGGCACTATATTCACCTTTCTGAAGGCTTGGGTCATAAAACATTGCCAGTCAGATGGGTCGAATACCTGCTTCCATACAATGGTTCCTCTGCACAGTAGTAGCTGTTTCAAGACATGGGCTACCAAAAACAATCTTATAGTGCGTATTCCTTTACAGGGTGAGTTTTTTCTGGCAGAATCACTTTAAAGGGAATGTGTTGTCTTTTCAGGTTTTTTTTTTTAGGCAAACATGCAAAAGATATTTCCTTGATGTAAATAACTATCAACTATCAATATACTGTTTAATGTTTTTCTTTTACATGTGTACTTGGGAGCAGCAAGATTTGCTAAATAAATACTACTACTAGTACTACGACTAAGAACTGATAATTTATCTGAACAATTTTTAAGCAGAAAGTACACTGCCTGGTCAAAAAAAACAAAACGTCACACAATCAAATATTTTGTTGAACCACCTTTAGCTTTGAGTACTGTGTATTCTTTCGATAAGCTTATGTAATGTTACAACATTTATCATTTATTTCCATCTAGAGTTACATGAGTTTCCCCACGATCTTGTAGTGATGATGGGAGAGTCGGACCACAGTGTAAAGTCTTCTCAAGAACATCCCAAAGATTCTCAATTAGGTAAAGGTCTGGACTCTATGGTGGCCAATCCATGTGTGAAAATGATGTCTCATGCTCCCTGAACCATTCTTTCACAATCTGAGCCTAATGAGTCCTGGCAATGTCATCTTGGACTATGCCTGTGCCATCAAGGTAGAAAAATATCCCTTGATGGAAAAACCTGGTCATTTCGTATATTCAGGTAGGCAGATGACTTCATTATTTGGGCACGTTGCAGAACCTAGACTAATTATCCATTGGAAGGCTCAGATCTATTTGCTTAGCTAAATCCAGGTGGTGACCTTTTGCCAGGCAGAGTAGATTGACTGGACCAAGGACTTTGTGTATTCCCTAATGTAAAAATCTACACATTTAATATAATACAATTATAGTAGCAGGGTATCATTTAATGTGTAATAAAAATATAAAAGGACAATTAAGTGAAAAATGTGAAAGTCATCTAAAAAAATACTTTAAGATGAATTTGAATGCCTTTAATAGCGATTTATACTTAACAGAATGGCAAAATGAGGTGTGAACAGTTTGAATTGCCAAGGTTTGTGGCTATAAGTTGTTTGCAGCTCCCAGATCCGGGTTTTAAAAACATCACCTTTGGAATAATCAATAAGAGACAAGGCAAAGACCACCTTACAGCTTTGCTTTACAACATTATAATGCACTAAGGCATAGAATACTAATGAATACTCTGTTTCAGACATGTACAACTAGTCATTGATGAAGTGACAATTTTACTATTAGACCATGTGTCTAAGCCAAAAACAGGCCCTAATGGCATTTGTGGTATAAATATTAACTAATATGGCTAAAGTTCTGTGTCTTTAAGAGGGATTTTACATTCTTTTTAAAAATATATTAGCCCTACCCAATGGTAAGCCCTTCCAATTGCCCTTCCAGCAGGCCTAACTTTGATACCACAACTAAAAAGTAACATCATTAAATATTTTTCTTTGTATGGGCTACCCAAGCAATAGACCTAGATTGCAAAAAATTTCTACAAACGACAAGAGAAATACAAGGACACAAAGACAAGTGAATGCAAAAACATGCGGACGATGAGCAACATCGAAGAGAGCTGCTGTAACTCTTGCAGGATAACAGAAGGCCTTAATTTGTGGTATACATACAGTCTGGCAGTACCAGGAACATTGTGGCTTATACAATCAAAATTTCTAGACTTATGATACTCACACATTCACATAACGGATAAAGGAAAGCTTAAAATAGATGAATAAATGGTTGCCAAATCTGGCATAGTGACAGAAGATGATCTGTGGTATGTGCTTGTCTGTATATTACACTATTTTACAACTAATATTTTTTAAATATGACCTTTTGCTTACACCATGTGTTTTCACTTTTATTCTCAGCTATCTGCCTTCATCACTGATCTAAAACAAAGGCTAAAAAGGTCCCAAAAACATACTTGGTAAGCAAATACAACACAAACATAATAATAAATGCAGCTTTAGGCCTCATTCACACACAAATCGGCCTGCACATACAGCTCCGTGCTGCGTGCGGGGCCGTACCAAGTAGCTGTGATTAGAACGCAGCCCCCGTCCTTCTCTATGGGGCTACGCGGCCGTACGCCCCCTACGCTCACCTCATTTGCAGGTCCGTAGGGGTGCGGGTGATTGTATTCATACGCCGTGGAATGGAACATGTATGCGTCCGCGTAGCCCCATAGAGAAGGACGGGGGCTGCGTTCTAATCAAACGCAGCACCTGTCCTTCCCGGCAGCTACTTGGTACGGTCCCGCACGCAGCACTGAGCTGTACGTGCAGGCCGATTCGTGTGTGAATGGGGCCATAGCCTCTTATATGTATTCAGTACTGATTAGCTACACTGCAGACAGGGAGGTGAAGTGTGTGCATATGCTACCCAAAGACATATTCATCTTAGTGAAACATAATATCAGCCAAATCTCATACCACTGTTATTTTCAAAAGCTACATTTTTTTTTTTTACTTCTTTTTTTCTATTCATTTAGAATAGATTTTTTTTTTCTACAAACAACCATTTAATATATGACCAAATATTCCCAGAGCACTATGGGCTAGCTAAGAAGACACCACAGAAGTAATACTTTTCATGCAGGCTGGATCTTGCTGACATCTGGTCATCGGATAAGGGATGAGCCACTGCGTCAAACTATTTTATACATTTCAGCTGAAGTAATTGTGCCCTGTAAAACAGGCTTTTTTTTTCAGCAGGTAAGTAGAAAATATAAAAAGGAGCCTCTACTTCTACATGCTGGCTCAAAACGGAGAACTGAAAATATGTATATGCTATATTAAATATTTACCTCACTAGAACAAAATTAATATTTTAAATTCTATATTTTTAGTCCAGACCATATTAAGTAAACAAAATTAAATATGTACAAACCCACTGTGCATTCCCTTTAAAAGCAGAATACTATATTAGGTGTTCCCTGTATCATGACCGCATTTGAAGCTTATTTTAACTGCTTAACTGATGGGTAAAAACTAAAAGCTGGCCATAAACTACTGTATTTTTTTTGTTCAACCCACGGCTGAACGAAAACATAATACAGATTCCTCTATCAATGCTTACGAGTGTTGATTAAGGAATCCCTGCTGTTTCCTTTGCATTCTGACAGTAGCTGCTGGCCACTGTCGGAATACCCAAAAGAGTCGGCAGCTCATTGATTTTCTGACCGACTCCATCGATCCGCAAATTTCTCATAATGTATGGCCAGCTTAAGAATTTAGATTTACTTGGGTAGGAAGGGGGAACACACGATTAGATTAATTTAATTAAATTATGATTTAGGTAGAACATTGGTGATTTTTTTTGTATATGGTAGGGAAGGGCTAGACTAAGTATGTGTCTACATTGGGGGGAATCCATCCACTTTATATATCATGTTGACTATTATCCCCAGGAACAGGAGAGAAAGTAAAGGGGCATCCAAACTTTTTTATGGTTTTTATCTAAACAGTATAACAGTATTATCTTCTAAATGGAAAATCAGTTCCATTAAAAGTTCAGCTTACTTTCTGTCCTGTCTCCAAGAGAGGAGGTATTCCTAAAGGCAGGGCTCGACAAATCCCAGGCACCAGGTCACCATGGCGACTAAAAATTGCATCCTGGTGCCTGGGCTTTTGTCAGCCCGTTCACGGTCCCCCGCCGCTGGCTCTGCCACCACAATCAGCTCTGCTCTCCTGACCTTCTTGCTGAGTGCTGGCTGCAGCATTCTCTGTTCCCTTCAATCACCGCTGCTCTCCCCACCTGTGTCGGCAGCGGGGATGGGACAGCTCCAGCCGGTGCATAGCGGGTAGGAGAGATCGCTCTCAGCCGCTGTGCCCCCACCCCCGCTGCACCTCTGCCTTCCAGCTGCTCCCCTTCCCCTGCTTCCCATTCAGCGGCTCCCAGACCCTGGATGGGACACTTGTCGCGGGCGCTAGAAAGCCAGCGGTAAATGTCCTATCCAGCGGCTAGGGGCATTAGCTAGCCTGCTATTGGTTATTTTAAATTGCACTAGCCAATAGCAGGCTGGCTTTTGCACCTGCCCACTGTCATCTCCTTCAGGTCCCTCCTCTGCAGATTGACAGCAGAGAATGGGTGGGTGCAATAGCCAGCCTGCTGTAGGCTATTGCAATTTGAAGTAGCCAATAGCAGGCTGGATATATCTCCCAGCCACTGCCTGCCTTGTGTTTATACTCAGCTGCCTCAGCAGGCAGCTGTCATTCCCCAGTGAAGTGAAAAGGTGACACTTGGGTACTAATAGACCCTAATGTCCACTTAAAGAGAGCCTGCCAACACCAAAGTGTTATTACATAGGAGGCTTGTGAGCCTCCCAATGTGATAGCAATGAAGTAAAAAAAAAAAAAAAGTTAAATAAACTAAAGTAAAAAATACCCAAAAAATAAAAGTACCATGAATGTATTTAAGAAAAAAAAAAAACTTTTAGGCAGGGCTTGACAAGTTTTCTGTGAATCTAGGAGCCAGCAAAAAAGGGACACAGATAGCATTAAAAACATTGCAGAGGTCATGACCGTTCCCCCTCCTATCCAAAAATAATGCTTTCGTTAAGAGTTTTACTTTAGTTTTCCTAAGATCTTGGGCATGTATTTGTTAACAAGGTAAAACTGCAGAAAAAGTACAATATCAGTAAGGCTGGGTTCACACCTGGGCGTTTTTCAGCGCTTTTCGAAGCGCTGAAAAAACGCTCAAACAGTGAAATCCCATACTTCCCTATGGGCATGGTTCCCACCTGGGCGTATTTCAGCCTGTGGAAACGCGCTCAAAAACGCCCAAACAAGTACAGGAGCTTCTTTGGGGCGTTTTTCCGCACGTTTCCATTGGTATTCCTGTGTGAACACAGCTGCTTTTATTGGCTTTCCAGGAAAGGGGTGGGCAGCTCCGACCCTCTATCTGTTGTGGAACTACAAGTCCCATGAGGCACTGCAAGACTGACAGTTGCGGACATGACTCCCAGATGCAGAGGCATGTTGGGGTTTTTAATTAAAGCAGGAACCCAGCAGGTCTACCTATTACAGGCTGCCTGTAAAAAAACTATAGGTGGGTGGATACAAGACCAGTCCCCCAGCACAAGAAGAGAGAGCAGAAGTGACTGGTCTCTATTACAAAACATTGCTAGACAGAGGCAAAGTACAGAGTTTGCTTGCTGGATTACTGCACAGATCTTGGAGAAAGGCACAAAATATGTCATGATCCAAGAAGGAACACACATGAATGTCTGCTTTGCAATTTCTTTGGGACCTTAAACATTGTTTTTTTTTAGCGCATTGAAAATCTGGGGCCAAATAAAATTCAAATTCTCATTTGGTAAACAGACCTGCAGTTTGAATATTAGTATTGTAAAGGACTGTAATGCAAGTGTAATCTGAAAACCTTTTCCAAAAACACTTTGGAACTAATACTTGCTGCTCTTTTCTCCTTACCAGGGCTAAGGCCAACGTCTCGCGCTAGAGAGGAATTGCAAGCACAAAATCGGTGAGAAAACTTAGTGATGAGTGTTTCCAAGTATTCCCCACGTTCCTCTGGTGCATGTATATGTCGAAAAAAGTCTCTCAGTGCATTTGGTAGAAACTGATTGCTGAAGTTGTGCAGAGTAACTAAATCATCCAATACATCCCGCCTATATAAAAGGAAAAAAACAAAAACAAAAATGTACAAGTCACAGGTCAGAAATACAAGAAAGCATATTAGGTGGTCAGTCAACCCCTCACAAGATATTTCAGTCTTCTGTGAATATACATTATCTCAATTACTCTGCTGGACTTTTTGATTGATTAAATATGTAGCAAAAGTGGGCGCGGCTGTCGATGTTGGTTGACGAGTGAGACAGCTCCGCGGCTCCCTCGGACAAATACCGCAATAGCACGGAGCTAACTACTCCCCATCAGCCGAAAACATCTCTAAACTTCTGCGGACTATCCACGGCATTGACCATGGCTCAATCCGGACAGCGCAGACAGCAAAAACACCATCTCTAAAAGGGAAACCGATTGCCGAGGCCCTAGCTCGCGCCACGGCCAAGATGGCGGCCCCATCTACCTCACGAGCAGCGCTTTCACAGCCTGTCTCTGCCTCCAGTAGTGACATGGAAGAAGAGGGCCATGATAGCCCCCGTCAACAGAAGCGATCCCACAGCAACCTACTTCATCAATTTGACGCCATGCTGCAAAAGGCGTTACAAACGACCTCCAAGCAGATCACGGACCGGCTCCTGAAGGAAACTCGGGAAATAGGGCACCGCACGGCAGCTCTGGAGGACAGATGCGACGATATCTCGCATGACTTAGCAGACCAGGGGAAGGAACTGGATACCCTTCGCGAGGATAACAAAGTTCTCCTGACGAAGCTTGAGGACATTGAGAATAGATCTCGCAGGTCTAACCTGCGCATTAGAGGCCTGCCGGAGCACATCACAGATCTGTTCGCCACGGCCCGTGCTCTTTTTCAAGAGTTGGCGCCGGAAATCCCCGTCGATCGGCTTGAAATAGACCGTATCCACCGCACGCTGACCCGAAGAAGAGTAGATGGACCGCCGCGTGACATACTGGTGAGGCTCCATTTATTCCGCACTAAGGAAGCACTGCTGGCTGCGGCTAGAAACAAGGCCTCGCAGGCCCCGCTAGTATTCCAGGGCAACGAATACCAGCTTTTCACCGACCTGGCCCCTTCCACCATATCCAAGCGGAGAGCCCTAAAGCCATGCCTGGAAGTACTCACTAAATGCCACATCCCTTACAAATGGGGATATCCCTTCCGCTTATTGTTCTCCTACGGTGGCCAACATCACTCCTGCTGCACCCTTGAGGAATATGTAGCAAAAGTGGATTATTGCCTTTGAACATGTAACATACCAAAAGGAGAAGGCTTGATAGTAAATTCTCCTGGGTTTGGTCCTCATGGCTAAACTTTAGATACCAGTAGCTACTACTTTTTGGTTGTGTTCCTTTAGTAATCTCAATGTGCTTACAATATGTTTACCATTGCCACTGCATCCTCTGCTTATGTGGGTATCCAGTACCATTTATATGTCTACCGTGGTGATTTTACAACTGTATTAGTGTATTCTAGTTACTATTTCTGGTCCTCATGTCGGGACGTGCTTGTTCGACACTTGGTGATGTTTTGGTTTCTGTAGGTCTTTATATGTTATTAAATGTTTATGGTTGCGGTTTGTTTACAAAACTGTTTAATAAAAACTAGGGATGCACCGATACCAAGTGCCGTACACAGTACAAGTACAGGTACGTTTCCAGCTCCAAGACTAGAGTAGAGAAAAATCCAAAAGTTAGGAGGCAGCTGTCATTTGTAAGGAACATACGGAGCTCCTGGGATTTGTACATCTCTGTTTTATGTATGATTTTGTTTTTATAAATATAAATAAAGGGATGCACCGATACCAGTTTTGAAAGTACAAGTATTGATACTTGCCAGGTACTTACAATTACTGATACATTTTTCTTTATTGCCATGTGACAGTTTTTCTAAAACAATACAGACTAATGATTTCAGGACAGTGGTGAAGAGCCAGAGCCAGGCCCCAGCTGTAACCCTTCGTGTAGTTTTCGTGAAAATGCCAAGTATCGGCACTGGTATCTGAACTGGTATCGGTACACCCCTAATAAAAATGATCTGATTTGAAGAAAAAAAATGTGTAAAAAAAGTGAGATTCCCCTGCAGCAGGGCAGCTAGGTAAGAGATGAGGGAGGAAACTAAAGTGGGGAGATCCCCTTAAAAAATATAAGCAGCAGGTTAGTAATTCAGCTCTTTAGCATGTGCCAAAACTGAAATATCAGTTTTGCGTGCACTTGGCCTCTAATATATTTTCAATACTACATACAGATACCGCAAACAGCGACAAAAAAAAAAATCTAATTTACTATAATACACCAAGAGCAATCTTGAACTGGATCCAGCAGCATTTTGAATCCAATATATTTGCTTTACCATTTCATTTTTCTCTTTACCTTTCATCAAGATATATCCTCAGTTTCTTCCAGTTAAGTGTTCTGGTATAAAATATATATCTTGCTATTTCTTTTGGTGAATCATCTAGGATACCTCTAGATAAAAAATACTCAATGCCCTAAAAGAGAAACAAAAAGAAACAAAAAAAGAGAAGAATAGGACTTAAGGCATGCATGAGTAAGCAATAAAATGAAAAACTTCCATTCAAATTAGCTAAAGCAGAGTTATAATAATAGTTGGGTAAGTTGTCGATCCTTTTGTATTATACTGTATACAAATGATCCTCTACAAAAACAAAAATGACTTCTGGGTAACTGGTGCAAATTTGTGGCAAAACATGCTGTCAAGTGTAAAGTTCAGAGACCTATGGGTGCCCGCATATTGATAACACATTTCCAGCACTCAAAATCCTCCAAAATAAAAAAATCATTTTTTGAGTGCTGGAAAGGCATTATCCTTGTGGAAACATTATCTTTGAGGAAGGACTTCTGTTCACCAAATGAAGGATAAAAGGAGATTTAATAGGGGAGAGCTGTGAACTTTTGTGTGACTCTCTTGGGTGCCTGCACATACCTGCAGCAATCTCTAAGCCCTTTAATTATGGTTAAATGGCAGCTCATTCTAGAAGGCCAATCTCTGGCACTTCCTGGTAGTGATGAATCTTGCATGCCCTTTCCTGCCTTCTGCACATTCCTACTGCCTAATAAGGCAGCCCATAATGGTGATAGGCCACTAGGAGTGTATGGAAGAACGTAAGGCTGTGAGGCTGCAACTAACGATTATTTTCATAATTGTTCTCCTTACCATCTTGTCTTGGATTGTATTGTAATTTTAATGTCTTCCTTATATTGTAAAGCGCTGCACAAACTGTATAAATCCGATATAACAATAAATTAGTTGGCTGATTATTTTTTCAAATAATCGGATTAAAAAAAACCAAAAACATCTTTTATTAAAAATAAAATACACAAATGTAGTGTAACAAACAAAGTTTACTTAAGAATAAAACTGCATGCACAATTTTTTGCAATCGCACCACACTGGATCGAACGTCATTGCGGTACCACGTGTTCTAGTGTGGGCGATCGCACTGCGGGCTGGAGGCGCGTTAGACATTTTAATAAGTTTGATGGATTTAAAATAATCTGAATTAAAGGCTCCAAGCCAATATAAAAGAACGAAACTTTTATTTTAAATAACACACCAAAATTGGACAAAAAATACAATTATATATAAAATAATATAAAGGCACGATCATCAGAGTTAAGGTGACATTAGTAGTCTATTAGACCCCCAGTGTCAACTTTCCACTTCAATAGCTTTAGCTGGGCAATCTAAATACAGCAGACAATGGCTGGGAACTATAGCCAGCCTGCTATTGCCTATTTCAAATTGCAATTGCAGGTGGGCTATTGCACCCCTCCACTGTCTGTTGTCAATCAGCAGAGGACGGACCTAAAGAAGAAAGTTTAGAGGAAGAGGGGGCACACGGAGAGGCGGGCAGTGGCTGGCCATGAGGGGTAGGGGGGGGGGGCACAGGGGCATTGCAGTCACAGGCTGCAGCGATCTGTGCCCCCTCCTCGCTGTCTCTGTTGTTGTAGGCCTACATTGGCTTTTTTGTTGCGCTAAGTCATACAAATGCAATTTGTTAATTCAATGAAAACCAGTGGCTAACTTTTCTGACTCTCTCTAGTTTTGTCAAAAGTAGTATATATTCCGTGACCACTGAATATAATCTGCATTTTTATATATAAAATCTTGGCCACTTTGTACCTTTTGTAAAAATTGGACACTACAAAAGGTAGCCCAAAGTCACCTCTATCCTCAAAACTACAGTTTTTTCTTCTTTTGTTTTTAGATAGATTGTTTGGCATTGTACAGCGAGTAAGAAGCCCCATCCTTATTTCATTTTCTCATAGCTTAGTAAACGTTTTGACCCATGCCCAGAGAAAGGATCATTCTCTTTTTCTGTGGTGATTCTAAATTCTTGTATGTTTGAAAATCCCTAGACTGACCTGTGCATTATTTACAACCGTCCTGATGCATCAAAGTGCCAGGTCATTTTCACTAAGAAGGGCACCTCTGGCATAGATTAACAAAAGGAGTTGCATAATATACATGTGGAGCAATCAAAAAAACTCGTCTTCTATTCAACGGAAAGCAGGAATGCTAGTTCAAATACGTTACCCAAAGAGGTACAAAATACTACATTTATTCACTATAAATGTCAATATTTCTATTTTCTATCCTCACCTCATGTGGATTAGCATTAAAGGTTAGGCTTCCTTCATCCAGTCGCATGTAAAGATTGCGGTAAGAAAATCCTGGCGGGTGTCTTTTATTGTATATAGAACAATGTCCCCAAGTGGACTTGCATAATCTAAAAAGGAAAGAGTGAAAATAATTTATATTCCTCTTTAAATAAAACTTTTATTTCTTAAAAAAACTAATTTTTTTTTTTGACTGATGTTAAATAATAATAAAAATTACCAATATTAAAACAGACTAAACATATGCCATTAATGTCAATCTGATAAAAGAGAACAGAGAGTAGCTGACAACATGTTATAGGCCATTACATAATTACTCAGCTTAATTAAAGAAGATATCTTATATAAACTGTTTTAAGTCAACTAACCACATTACCACTTATAGTTTTAAACAATTTTTTGCTTTTAAATTTTCTTAGGAAGTCAGAGCAGTGTTCTCATGTCAAAGATGAAAGTAGGAACTTGCTATATTTCTGATATATCAACAGTTGTTTTCTGTATTTGCAGTGGGTTTAAAAAGAAAAACATGGGGGAATTGTGCATGTATTGCAGAGCTGCACTAAATATACTTGTTTTTTTCTATTTTGCCTTGACATACAGTACGCTTTGACAAACCTATGCAAGATCTAAATATAGAGAAAAAAAATCTCTGATTTCTGATCCTACAAACCAATAGGAGCTTTGTTTTCTGTATTTTGTGTGTCAGCCATTAAGATGAAAACAAAGGGGTATATTTTCAATTAAATGAATCCCTTCTTTTGCCAATGTTCACATTACCCAGGTTGTTAGACCAGCTATTTGATACCTTGATAGTTCTTTAACCACTTGCTGTCTGGAGTAATTACTTTGAAGCTTGCTGATCTCCCTCCTATCTGTCAGAGTAGACCCACTGTGCCGGTTGGGGGAGAGCACAATATCCTCATTTACAAACACTCAGCGATCACTAAATGTTTGTATCCGCTCTCCATCCTGACTCGCTGTCACAGGAGGCTGAGCGAGCGGTGCGGAGAGCTCAATCTCCTTTGACAGCTAACTCCTCCCCCGCACCGCTGGCCCGGACTCCTGTGACAGCAGACTTTGCCCCACATCACCACTCTCCTGATCTGTCACAGGAGGCTGAGCAGGGTGGTGCAGGAGGAGTGCTCAGCCGCCTGTGACAGATCATGAGAACGGCGGTGTGGGGGTGGAGACACAGCCGCTCTCCTAGTCTGTCACAGGAGGATGTCACAGGAGGGGAGACCCAGCCGCTTACAGCGTGGCCTCCTTGACAGTTTCTCTCCTCTCCACTGGGACACAGAGCAGCGCCCAGCAGGAAGGAGAGAAAAGCAGGGATGCACCACTATTTTGGCCAAAAGTGCAATTTTCAGTCGATATTTCGGTGCACGCCTACCAGGAATCCCAGTCATTTCTCTGGCCCCTGTGCACGTCAGTGTTTTATCACAAGCAGAAACGAGTTGACTAAATAGTACATGCGCTACTTTGGGGCAGATTTCAGCGTGTTTTGTCCCACAGACTCAATAAAAAAACACTTGAAAAACAATTTTTTGCACGTTTTTGCATGCATTTAGCGCGCGTTTGCCCATTGACATGAAAGTGCCAGAACCTGCTCACAGAAACGTGCAGCTTAATATATGTGTTAATATAACCGCTTGGAAAAAAACCCGCACATAATAAATAATAATAATAATAATAATAATAATAATAGGTGTTGACTAGGTGTGAATCCAGCCTAAATGTTACTTTTAACTCATAGTCACACCTGTTGCCCTCAAAAATGGAGATACCACTGACAAAAAAGCATTCAACCAAACTATATCTCAAAATATTTTTAATTCATCAATGTCATTCAATACCCAAATATATAAATTTATACAATTTGGGCATTGGTGAATTACAAATATTTTGAGCTATAGTTTGGTTTGATGCTATTTTGCCAGGGGTATCTCAAGGTTTGAGGGCTACAGGTGTTAGTAAGGTCAATAATTTTGGGGATTTAACCAGTTCCCACGAACTATGTGCCCTCTTGTCTTGTTCAGCTCTTAACTGAACTTTAAAGCCATCAAATAGCTAGTGTCATAGCTGATCACAATGCAGCACCATGGCAACTCCAATCCAAATAGAGGCTAAGTTGGTACCTTCCTTGGCTGCAAGTGATATGAGGTTGTAGTTCTGCTTTAACTTTTGTGGCTTGCACTACCAAACACTGCTCCTTTGAGTAAAAAGGATCCCCTGAAGTCCACAAAGAAACTAACATGGCAGCGTTAATCTCTTGGCAACTCCCACAGCGTTCACCGACTCCACCTTTTGGCCTCCATGTCACTACTGTATCCTGTAAGGATATGGAGGTCAGCAAAGAAACCTGCATTTATTTATTTATTTAAAAAGGAGAACTATGGGGTCAGTGTTTTTTCCCCATAGTTCTCCTTAGGGTAACGGGAGGACACAAACTAGCGTCCTCCCGTTAGCCTAAGCTCAGTATACCGCGAGCTACAGCTCGCGGTATACTGAGACGCCGCAGCGGATCCCGACTTAGACGACGGGATCTGCCCAGCTGCGTGAGTGACAGCTGGCTCTGCCTATCTAGGGGCAGAGCCAGCTGTACCCGCCCCCTCCCCCATCCGTTCCGCCAGTCAGCGCTGGCAGATCGGAGCGGGGAAGAGGGGAAACCAGCCCCTTCCCCTGTCACGGCAGAGAGCCGTGACAGGATCGAGAGGTGAGCGAACCCGGTATGTGTTCGCTCACCTCCCGATCTACTGAGCCGACCTGTGACAGTCTCATTGTCACAGGTCGGCTAGAACTATGAGGCGAGTGAAAAGCACTCACCTCATAGTTCTCTTTAAGGCTTTTTCCCATTTATTTTCAACTAGGATTCCTAACACTAATACACTTTGTGTCCAGGGGACACAAAGCTCACTCACTGCACTGTATCCAAGGAGGAGCAGTGTTGTCAGCCAATGGTGATCTCCAGACTTGGACTACAATCACCTCTCCCATCTCCTCATCTCTATTACATAGAGGGACATTACTTTACAGTTCAGAGACGATTGCTGAGAAAGCTGATACCACTGTTTGAGATTTCAGTTCAGACTAGGGCTGCAACAACTAATCGACATAATCGATTATAATCGATGATTGAAAAAGTTGTCAACTTTTTCAATCATCGATTAATCGGCTTCCGATTGGTTGGCCCTGTTCGCCGCCCGCATCCACGTGCAATCATCGCAAGCCCTCCATGACACGCTCGCCCTGCCAGATCCAGCCGCCCGCATCCACACTCCACATGTCGCACCTCCTCCCCACCTCACGCTCGCCGCTGCCAGACCCGCCCGCATCCACGCTCCACACTTCCTACCCGCCTCACGCTCACCGCCTGCCCAAATCCACGATCGGCACAGGGACGCGGGGAGAAAAAGTAAGGAGGAGCAGGTGTGGCGGATGACAGCTGCAGATAGACAGGCCCGATCTCAGAAACAAGTTGCTGGAAGACTGCTCAGGTAAGCCTGCACTTTCCCACACATGGTGCTCTATAATGTATTGCTGGGATTTGTATTCCTCTATAGCATGGGCAGCGTGCGACCGCTTCTACTGTAAAGGTCGTACGACTTTTGTCTTCCAAGCACGCTGGAAAACCTGCCGAAAATCGTACGATTTTTGGCGGGTTGGATGGCGTGGTTGTAAAACGAATGCCGCACGGGCCGGTGTGCCCACTCAGCACTGCAATCATCGCAAGCCCTCCCCTCAGCCCGGAGGGCTTGCGATGATCGCAAGTACCATCTGCCTGTCCAAGATGGGCAGATCGTACGAGAGTTCAGACCACTGGAAATTACAAATACTTCTAGCAGGATCAGGTAATGTTTTGTACTTGCAGAAAATGTACTAGTCTGAAAAAACGAAAAGTGATGTAGCTACCTCATCTAAGGACCGGTAATCTGCTGTATATGACATATTTGTGTTTAGGCTTAGGCATACTTTAAAGTGTGTTTCCAATTTTGCAGTCAAATCCCCTTATGATGTTTGTTGTTCCCATTCACACAGGATAACTAAAAGCAATCTTTAAAAATACATTTGTTACCTTTTAGATATTTTTTTTGTTGAAGGCCTTTGTACAGATTTCAGGCTACTCTGAGCAGATTGGACATGAAAGTAGAGGGCCAAACTGATAGCAGACTGAGTTCCTTCTCATTAACATAAAATGCTTTTAAGGCTTTAACTCTTTGTTAGGACAGAAAGTGTTCAAATCTAGTTAACAACTAATAATTAAATCTGCCAGACACCTCCTTAACATTACATAAAGGGGAAGCCAAGTAGATTTTTAGGCTACTAAAAGTAATGTTTACATTTGTTTTAGTTATGCTATGTAAAGGAGAAATGTAACAAATAAAAGGAAGGTGTTATCCCAGTTTGGCTTCAAAAGTAGAAAATAAACTTCAATGCAAACATGAACAAATCAAACAAAAAGAAAAAGAAAAAAAAAGGACAAAAAAAGAACTTTCCCAATCACCCAATAGGGCTACCATTTAAATGCAATTGTTTAATATCAAGTACAGAATAACAAACTTGGCCACATCTGCATGTAATTCATATTCACTGTATTAAAGAAAAAAAAGCTATGCTTTTATTTGATAAGTATTCAAAGTTTCGTTTTATAATCCCTTAGTTGCTCAGCATGAACTTTTTTGTACGATTATTAAATTGTGAATACTGATTTACTATACATAAATGTTCGTAACTGTCACATGGTGATCTGTACCGCCTCTATAGTTGCTGACAGTTGTGCTCAAATATAATTTTATGAAAGTCTTCCTTGTAGGCTTGCAGATTACATTAATAACTAAAAGCTTGTAAATCCAATTTCAAAACAAGTTGAAATGGCCCAGAATTGCAGGCAATTACTCCAAACCCTCAAAAAGATCAAAGTCTACCAGATGATTAAATAATGTGCTTAGATACTGCAGAGGAAATTAAGTTATATGACTGCCAATAACAAACAGTACAAACTAAACATGCTGTACACATATAAACACAAACACAAGAGTACAAACTACAAAACACACTGTACACCAAAAACACAAACAGAAGAAAATAAGTATTTTAGTGGATGATCAGATCT